AAACAACAACAACAACAAAAAAACCACACTTGAAATGTCAACCTAACAAAGTATACCTTTTTTTTTAAAAAAAAAAAGATTTTATTTATTTGACAGGTAGAGTTACAGACAGTGAGAGGGAGAGACAGAGAGAAAGGTCTCCCCTCCGCTGGTTCACTCCCCAGATGACCACAACCGAAGCTGCACCGATCTGAAGCCAGAAGCCAGGAGCTTCTTCTGGGTCTCCCACATGGGTGCAGGGGCCCAAGGACTTGGACCATCTTTTACTGCCTTCCCAGGCCACAGCAGAGCACTGGATTGGATGAGGAGCAGCTGGGACTAGAACCTGGCGCCCATATGGGATGCCGGCACTGCAAGCGGAGGATTAACCTACTGTGCCACAGCACCAGCCCCCATAGTATACCTTTCTAAAGTCATCATTCAATGTAAGTCACAGCACACATAAGCTCCATACCAGAGGTCCTCAAAACTTGGGTGTGCATCAGAACACACCCAGACAGCCGGCCACCCTCACCCCGGCCCCCAGGGCTGTGGATAACCTAGATGGGGGCAGGGGTCTAACAGTTTGCAGTCCCTCTGCCAGCACTTGGGCCACCCTCTGAAAATATATGCTCCTCTAAGCACAGCACCTTGTCGTGAAACCCAAACCATGAGGCAACACGCGTGCGTCTTTGAAATTAATCTTAAAAATGCATCTTTGGTTGTTCCTTGTGAAAGAAGTTACGCTGTGTAGTGTCTGTTCATTCAGCAGCTTCGCTCACCCCCTTTAATATGTTCTTCCTGTTGGAAAGAGAAACAGGGACAGCCTTGCCCTCCCCTGCACAGGAGCCAGGTCTCACGAAGAAAACCATTACCCGAGCAACGAGGAATGTGTGCATTCGGGTCCAGCAAGCTTCTCTGTTCTGAACTGAGAACCACGTCCGCGCACATTTGGCAGGCAAGCTCCATTGAGAAGCTACATTGAGTTATTCTCTGCATTATTCTCTCTCTCCATTCTTCACGGCTGTTGAGGGCACTGTCAAACTAATAGCCCTACAGCTGGACGCAGCCCAGACTCAGGTTTGCTTTGATTCACCGACCATACTGGAGGGAAAAATGCTTGAGGCAACACTTAAAAATCAGGCCCATTTACATTAAAAGTCAGATTTCCACCTGGTCTTAAAAAAATCGGGCTGTGGGTAAAGCTGCCACCTGCAATGCCAGCATCCCATGTGGGCGCTGGTTCAAGTCCTGGCTGCTCCACTTCTGATCTCTGCTATGGCCTGGGAAAGCAGTAGAAGATGGCCCAAGTCCTTCGGCCCCTGCACCCGTGTGGCAGACCTGGAAGAAGCTCCTGGCTCCTGGCTTGAGACCGGCTCAGCTCCGGCAGCTGCGGCCATCTGGGGAGTGAAACAGGGGGTGGAAGATCTCTCTCTGCTTCTCTGTAACTCTGCTTTTGAAATAAATAATCAATCTTTTTTTTTTTTTTTTTTTAAATCCGGGGTCTGCGCTGTGCCGCAGAAGGTTTATTAGCCCCCGCCTGCAGCCTGGCATCCCAAATGGACACCAGTTCACATCCCAGCTGCTCTTTTACTGCCTGGCGCCCATATGGGATGCCGGCACTGCAAGCGGAGGATTAACCTACTGTGCCACAGCACCAGCCCCCATAGTATACCTTTCTAAAGTCATCATTCAATGTAAGTCACAGCACACATAAGCTCCAATCCTTAGCTCTCCGCTGTGGCCTGGGAAAGCAGTGGAAGATGGCCCAAGTGCTTGGGCCCCTGCACCCACGAGGGAGACCCAGAAGCAGCTTCTGGCTTCGGATTGGCTCACCTCCAGTTGTTGCAGCCATCTGGGGAGTGAACCAGTGGATGGAAGACCTCTGTCTCTTCCTCTCTCTTATTGATTTCAGAGGTAACTCCACCTCTCAAATCAATAAAAAAATCTTAAAAAAAAAAAAAAAAAACAGTCAGACAACCTGGCAATATTATTGCCAACTTTCTGCAGGTCAACAATTATCCAGCGTTGGGTGCAGCTGCCCTTCAGACAGAACAGGAGCTCTTGCTGGCCACAGAGCCTCTTCATTTCCTGCTGTGCTCACACTGGCGCCCCTGCTCGTTACTTACAGGCTTGTGTCCCTCACGCCCAGCACAAGAAGGGGCCGTGTTTCACGTTTTCCGGCTTAAAGTGAGTCTGGTGTGGCTGGTACTCAAGGTTTACTTTGGATTCAGCCTCTAGTGCCAAACATGGATGAGCCGTGAGATCTTTGCAAAGTTCCGTGTTAACATCCCTCAGCTGGGCCGAATGTTCTCTTCCTGTCTGGCGAGAAGGGTAACGTACCCGTGGACTCACAGGAGAAGCGTGCTCACTGCCTCCTCTGTCACTGTGACATCACGCAGACGAGTAAATGCAGTCGACAGCCCCTTGCGATCATGTCGAGTCGGCACAACACGATGAGGGTCATCCACGTGCCCCACTGCCAGGCGCAGGGCCCCGGCACCGCTTCCTCGCCTTTCTATACGCCTTCACCCACACCTGCGGCCCCAACAGCATCACTTGGTTTCACCCACACTCAGCGTCAAACTGACAAGTTTATTCTTTTGTGTCTCAACATTCCACACTATGTTTTAAGGTGGACATTATCTGTGACTTCCGTTTCCTTTTGCTCAGTCTTACCACAGGCTTATGAACTACTCAAGTCCTTTCAAAGCACATCCTTGGTAGTAATTTCTACCTTCTATGTATGGACCTAGGGCGCTTTTTATGACTTTTCTTTCTTTCTTTCTTTTTTTTTTTTTTTGAAAAGCAGAGAAACAGCTCGTATCTACTGGTTTACTTCCCCAAGCATCTCTAACAACCAGGGCCGGGCCGAGGCTGAAGCTGGAACCCAGGAACTCAGCCCAGCTCTCTCATGTGCTGTCAAGAGCTCATCTGTCTGCACCACCCACCAAGGCCTCCTAAGATGTGCAGTGGCAGGAAGCCGAAGTCAGGAGTCAGAGCTGGGGACTGAACTAGACTCCAACTTCAGAGGCAGTGTCCCTGCTCAGCCAAACACCCACACGTTTCTTATTTCTTAGGATAAATATTTACTCGCTAATTTGGGGCCTTTTTTAAGACTGTATAATTTTGATTAAGTACTACTTTATCTGTACCCTTCAAACTACAACATAATAGTTTCTTTCAGTAATAGTAATTTCTTACTATTACTTTAATAGAAATATTTATAATAGGATAAATATAAACTCATTTTCAAATTAATGGGTTATTTAGAAGTATATATTTGAATTTCCAAAAACATTGGGGATAATTTGCTGGTTACCTAATACTGACTTCTCAATTACACTGGAATCAGAGTAGACATTTCCTACTTCACTTTGAAACTTGCTGAGACTTGTTGATAATCTGGTAAAACTCTGTGTGTAGCTGACAGTGTGTACTTCACATAGTTAGGTGTGGTATTTCTACATGTGTTCACTAGATATGCTTATTAATAATGCTGACCAAAGTTTCAATAACATTTCATTTGTGTGTGTTTCTCATCAGTTACTTATAAACATTCATTAAAATTTTCCACTGCGATAACGAATTGTTTATTTCTCCTGCGGTTCTATAAGCATTTATTTGCAGCCATGTTACTAGACACATTCTCATTTAGAATTCAATCCTCCCGGTGAATTAAAATGATCATTTATGAAGTAACAGGAATAGAACTTCAAGCTTTTTGCCTTTGAGTCTATTTTGTCGGATGTTAATACAGCTTCACCAGCTTTCTCACGGTGTTTACAGTGAATACATCTTTGTCTTTTATTTTCAATCATTCTGTATCCTTACATTTAAGATATAATTCTTATATAATTCATGTAATTTAAAAAACTTGGGGGCTGGTGCTGTGGAGCAGTGGGTTAATCCTTCACCTGCAGCGCCAGCATCCCATATGGGCGCCTGTTCTAGTCCTGCTGCTTCACTCCTAGTCCAGCTCTCTGCTGTGGCCTGGGAAGGCAGTAGAAGATGGCCCCGGTCCTTGGGCCCCTGTACCGCAGCATGGGAGACAAGGAGGAAGCACCTGGCTCCTGGCTTCAGATCGGTGTAGTGCTGGCTGTTGCGGCCATCTGGGGAGTGACCCAACAGAAGGAGGACCTTTCTTTCTGTCTCTCCCTCTCATTGTCTGTAACTCTCTCAAATAAAATAAATTAAATCTTAATAAGAATTAAAAAATTTGGCCTATCAATCTTGGTCTTTTAATCACCAGCATGTAGTCAGTTTACATCTAGTGGAATTACTGATACACGTGGGTTTAGGTCTACCGTTGCTTCTTGTTCTTTGCATCTGTTTTACTTGTTCTATGTTCTTCTCTTTATTCTTTCTTTGAATTGTCTTTCATCATTCAGGTTAGTCATTTATTAGTTGGAGATTACACAATTTTTATTCATTACTTAGTCCATGAATTATATCCTTGACTTATCAAAGTTGAATACTAACACTTTACCCTCCCCCAAGACTATGCAAAAGCTCATAATAGACTAATTTCCTGCCTGTAGATTTTCATGTCACTTGTCCTACTTTAAATTTCTATTAAAAAAAATCCCACCCAACATGCAACATTCATTTAGGTTATCTATGTGTTCATCACTTTCTGACTTGCTGTATTGGATCCCCATCCTCCTACTCGCAAAACATCCATTAGAAATTCCCTTCTCCAAGTTCACAGAAAACGCTTATCATGAAGAAACTGGGTTGGCTTTGTTGTACAGCAGGTAAAGCCGTCACACAAGCACCAATGCACGTCCTGGCTGTTTTGCTTCTGACCCCCCCACCCCAATGGCTAAATGGCCTGGGAAAAAGTGGAAGATGGCCCAAGCGCTCCGGACCCTGCCATCCACATGAGAGATCTGGAAGAAGCTCCCGGCTTCTTCCTGGCCCAGCCCCGGGGCCCACTGTGGCCATCAGGGGAGAGGATCAGTGAATGGAAGCGCGCTCTCTCCCTCTCTCCCCCTCTCCCTCTTCTCCACCCCCTCCCATGTTATTCTGACTTCTAAATAAATACAAAAAGAAAAAAAAGACTATCCAGTTTCTTTAGGTGACTTCAGTAGCAGAGGTTGGCACGCCACTAGAGCTAAGGCAGAAATCCTACAGCACTGGGCCAAGCACTAGATCTTGGTGCATCTTCCCACTTTGTCAGAACTGTTCTAAGGGTACTGTGTGACAGCAGCTCTGAAGAACGGCGATGTCCCTTCTTGCAAGAAACTCATCCTTACAACGTAGAGCCAACTAGGAAGGTTGACGGCTCAAGTAACGGTTTCTGCAGTCATGCACTCCACAGTCCTTGACAAAGACTTGGCGGGGGAGAACAGTATCTTCACACCTATCAGAAGATCAGAAGGGGGCCAGCGCTGTGGCGTAGCGGATAAAGCCACCTGCAGTGCTGGCACCTCATATGGGCGCCGGTTCGAGTCCCGGCTGCTCCTCTTCTGATCCAACTCTCTGACATGGCCTGGGAAAAAAGTGGAAGATGGCCCAAGTCCTTAGGCCCATACACCTGGAAGAAGATCCTGGCTCCTGGCTTTAGATCAGCCCAGCTCCAACTGTTGTGGCCATCAGGAGAGTGAACCAGCCGACAGAAGACCTCTGTCTCTGTCTCTACCTCTCTGTAACTCTGCCTTTCAAATACATAAATATTTTTTTTTTTAAAAAGATCAGATGAAGGACTCAGAAGCAGCATGAAAAATCCTACAAAACTAACAAACACTATCATCCTCTTCCCTCCCTCGTCCACCCTACAGGTGAACCGTTCATTCACGGCTCTGGCTAACTCACTGTGGTCACGTGACATTTCAAGTCAATCACAATATCCCAGGGCAAATAAAGAGATGCCTACTGCTGCGTTATCTTTAAAGATTTCTGCAGGGGCCAGCCCTGTGGTGCAGCACACAAAGCCACCGCCCGCAGCAGTACTCTGGGCCTGGGTACTTGCAGGATTCTATCACCTGGCCCAACTAACACTTCTGCATCTGTCTCTGTGGAGCCTTTGATGCCTATGAGGGGTTACCCAGGACAAGGAGGAAGGCTGGGGCCTTTCCTAGCCTACAAGCCTGAGGCACACAGCGACGTCCTGTGCCTGCGTGCTAACAGGTTCACACGGAGAACAACACTTGGTCTGCGACTTTACGGTGAACAGAACACCTGGTGGCATAACCACTAATAAATATTGGAAACGATTGATTTTTACAGAAACAACCTGTACTGCTGGGAGCAGCAGAACAGGCTCAGTTCAGTTTGCAGCCACTGTGGTGCCTCCCATTTCATAAAGAAGCCTGTGGGACGGAAGCTCAGGCAGGGATACGATTCTCATCAAGCTGATGCACAAGCTTGCCATCCTGGAGCCTCCAAGAGAAAGGCTGTTTCTCTTCAGCAGGAAAACCACAGGAAGCTACAGAGACGGCCTTGGGGTGTGGGCTTAGCTGGGCCTGGGAGCCTGCCAGAAATACCATCTTTCTGCTTCTTGGCCCCTAGAATGCAAAGATACCCAAGGGTTTTTGCTTTGTTTTTTTCCTTTTTAAAAATGATTTCTCCCAAGCCACCTGGACTCTGTATTCTACTCAATATGATGTCATTTAAACAGTATCTGTAATCAAAGGAACGAATGGGAGGCAACCACCCTATTCCTCAAGTAAACGCAGGCCAGAGGAATCTGCATTTTCAAAACAGGACTGTCTTGGACTCTCGGTAGCTGTGGGTCCCTACCTCCCAATGTTTTCAAAAACCATTTAAGCTGAGAACTAACCGGAATGGGAAAGTGAGCGAGCTACGTCACACAGGGCTTGTCGAGGAGAGGCTTGTAAACCCTGCGCTTGTGCGGCTTCCACGCTGCTGAGCACGGAGCACCTGCCCCTGCACACATCAGTCTCCAGAGGTGCGGTCTCACAAGTGACCTCGGAGCACCAGAATCCCCCGCAGGAGGGAGGAGCTTAGCCATCAGTCCTCAAAGCTGCCTCCACAAGTGAGTACAACGGGATTCTGGGAGTGTGAATTGAACACTGAACATAGCACTGTCTACATGGCAGGTAAGTGAGCTGCAAGTCGGAAACCCAGGCCTTTGATGTGACTTCTCTGAGCCCTTTGTTCTCTCCACGTGATGGACTGGGAAGCTCTCTTGCTGGCCACTTCACAAAGAACTTGAAAGGACCCCAAGCACACGGAAGACTCAGCCCAGGTAGCTCACTGTCCTTTGCCCACACAAGCACTGGCCTCCAGCCCACTGATGGCTGCAGTGAGGAACAGCAGGACCGTGCAGGCTTGGGGAGGGGGCTGCCAACAAGCGGGAGGGGCAGGGATGCAGACCACTGTACTGAACCCTACACCGCCCCTGCCTCTAAGGGTTCAGAGGGAACCAAGACAACAAGCCACTCCCAGGAGTCCAGGCAGCTCCCCCAGCATGGGAGACCTGGAGCTGGCCACGTTCATCGACACAGCCCCAGACATCATGGCCTCCAGGAAAGAAGAGGACTTGCCAGCCCTACCCACAAGCCCCCAGGGAACACAAACATGAAGTTTAGTTTTGGTTAATAATTAAACTCCAAATGAAAACCCCAGGATGGAAGGAAAAGAGAGAAAGGAAGGAAAAGACCCAGACTCCGACCACCTGCCCAGCAACACCGCTCATCTCTCGGGGTCGTGCCCTCTGCTATGAGAACAGCGCACCCTGTTGCTTCCCTCTGTGCGACGCACTCATGTGCAACCTGAGAGCAGCAGGTAACAGCTCAAGTACCTGGGTTCCTGCCACTGGCAGGGGAGATGCAAACTGAGTTCTCAGCTCCTGGATTTGGCCTTGCCTAGTCCTGGCTGTTGTAGGCACTGGGGGGAGTGAATCAACAGATGGAAGATCTGTCTCCCTGCTTTTCAAATCAAATAAAAAACAAAACAGAAATACCTCGGAGGGATATTAGAAGGCTCTTTAGAAAAAATAAAATGGAGGCCAGCGCCGCGGCCCACTAGGCTAATCCTCTGCCTAGCGGCGCCGGCACACTGGGTTCTAGTCCTGGTTGGGGCGCCGGATTCTGTCCCGGTTGCCCCTCTTCCAGGCCAGCTCTCTGCTGTGGCCAGGGAGTACAGTGGAGGATGGCCCAGGTGCTTGGGCCCTGCACCCCATGGGAGACCAGGAAAAGCACCTGGCTCCTGGCTCCTGCCATCGGATCAGCGCGGTGCGCCGGCCACAGCGCACCGGCCGCGGCGGCCATTGGAGGGTGAACCAATGGCAAAGGAAGACCTTTCTCTCTCTCTCTCTCACTGTCCACTCTGCCTGTTAAAAAAAATAAAAATAAAAAAAAAATAAAATAAAATGGAGACAGTTAAAAATCCCTAAGAAAACAAGCAGAGCCCTTCCAAGAGTTGACGCTACGAAGTGGACTCCTTGCACACTGAAAAGTCACCTTTCCCAACCGCACAGGCTTCCCGTTTTCACACACTCCTGCAGCGATGGCTCAGCACAGCAACCATCATCAGAAGCAGGAACGAAATCAACGAGGTACGCAAAACTGGAAAATACCCGCTGAGCAAGTGGTCAGAACACTTCACATCCACGGTTTCGGGCTTAATAACAAATGGTGCTTGCTCACTGACAGGAAAGGGCGTTCTGCCTCCGGGGGTTCCTACCCTGCAGAGCCCAGTCCACCTTGGGGGTTCCTAAGCCGCCAGAGCCGAGCTCCTGGAGCAGGGCACAGGCCGCCCTCTCACTCTCCCATCATACTCTTCATTGATTCATATGCCAACTGTCACCACAGTTCCTACTGTTCGTGAGAACACAATCACCCTTTCCAAACTTGGTACAGTTCTTGGGGGAAAGATGAAGCCGATGTCTGTAACATTATGTCCTTTAAGAAGATGTATGTACTTATTTGAAAGGCAGTACAAAAAGAGAGACAGACAGGCGGACATCGATCTTCCACTTGCTGGTTTACTCCCCAAATGCCCGCTGAAGGCCAGGACTAGGACAGGCTGAAGCCAGAAGCCTGGAACCCCATCTAGGTCTCCTACCTAAGCGGCAAGGGCCCAAATACTGGGACCATCTTCTGCTGCTTTCCCACGTGCATGAGCAGGGAGCTGGATCCGAAGTGGTGCAGCTGGGGCTCCACTCGGCGCTCACATGGGATGTGGACACAGCAAGTGGCAGCTTCACCTGCTGCACCATAACCCACAGCCATTACCGCCTTGTCAGAAGACAGTCTCAGAAACTTCACCTGTGTCTCGTTCACCCCCTGTCCGCCAAAGAGACGTCATGGAATTACTGAGCTCTACGACAAGAGTCATGATTGGGTGTTTCTAAACATTCCGCGTGCAGAGTTACAGGCACTGCACACAGCTGTGTGTGCACAGCACATGCGAGGGCTCTTCCTGAAGTTCACAGAACACACAGTCTTTCAACTCCATTTTCCCACAAACTTTCTGAAGTCATAAAAGCTTTCCCAGTTCAAGTTGACGGCTCCCTGATCCTCTCCACCTCTCCCTTACGAGGATACCCGGTGTAGACAGAGGAGGAAGACAAACGTCCTCCATCAATAAAAAAGGAAAGGAGGAGCAGGAACAATGAAGCCAGGGCTCTCTGCCCGCCTGGAGCCAAGTGCAGGCTCCCAACCAGCGGAGGGGAACAAGCCCCAGAGCAGCAAGCAGGGAAGGCATCTGGCTGCAGCGGGCTCAAGCAAACGACAGAGCTGCTCATGGGACCACACGGCCTCAGAACCCGAGAACAGACCCAGCCATCATCCGACCCCATCTCCCTCGACTGCATTCAGGACAGCAAGGCTCCAAAGAGGCCTGGGGCCCCCCAAGGCCATCAGAGCACCGCAGCAGTGTGAGCTGCCACCCTCCTCTCCCAGGTCTCACCCAGGAGAAGCTGGGAACAGCACCCAGGAAGTTTAAAGGACTTTGCAAAGGCACTGAAATTGTCTGCCAAACTGGGCGTGGTCTTGCATTTTGCAGGGGGAGCTGGGGTGGCTGCTTTCACCAATCTGAACAGTCTTCAAAAAACTTAAGAACCAAGGGATGTGCCCGTGGGAGCAGGTGAGTGGGAAAGGGAATGAGACTCATTCCCAACTGTAAAGAACCTTAATTCTCAGTAACCCAGAGTCCACCTGCAGGTGGGCAAGGCAGCCCGAGGAACCGCTGAAGGAAAGGTGACAGCCCCAAACTTTTTGGTCTGTACAGTAAAAGGGATCCTATAGGAAAAAAAGTACTTAGGGCCAGCACTGTGATGCAGTAGTTAAGCCGCTGCCTGTGTCACTGGATCCCACGTCAAAGCACCAGTTAAAGTCCCGGCTGCTCCAGTTTCAATCCAGCTCCCTGCTAATGCGCCTCAGAAAGCAGTGGAGGATGGCCCAAGTACTTGGACCCCCTGTACGCACTTGGGAAACAGTTCCTGATTCCTAACTTGATCCTGGCCCAGGCCCAATTATTGCTGCCATCTGGAGAATTAACCAATGGATGAAAACTCTGTTTCTGCCACTCTGCCTTCCAAATAAAATCAATCTCAGAAAACAAAACAAAACAAAAAAAAGGTGTCTATGCAGGCTGGACACTTCTTTGTGACCATGGTAAAGACAGACAAAGCAGGCAGCACCAACTCCAACCTTCTAGGAGCTGGTCTCAAGGTACAAGACAGCAGCAGCACCAGGAGATGTGAGTGCGAGGTTTCTACAGCCTTTCACAGCCAGGGCAGCCTTGACCCTTAGGCCCCCAATGCAACTCCTCTCCTTGTACCAGATCAGGGACCAAGTGCGAGCCCAGCAAAGGACCACATGCCCAGGAGACTTAGCGCAATCATGGGGCCCTTTGTTCCCTCATTTCTGGTGTCAACACCAGTCCCAGGAGTGGGCAAAGGCCGTGTACTTGGCCACAAGGAACTGGATACCCGGCAGCCATTGCAGTTTTCCTAGGAAACAGAAAATATTTTCCCTGCTCTATGGATGAGGAAACCGAAGCAAAGGGACCAACGTCTGAGGTTTTTTGAGGGGGAGAAGAGCCGGGAGCTCTGGGGTCAGGGCCTGCAGCTCGGCACGGCGCAGGGGCTCTGGCTGCACAGTCCATGTCCTTTCGGGAACCAGACCATTCTGGAGACTGGAGAAACACTAGTTGCTATGGACAAGATGTGGGATACGGTTTACACCACACAGCCGTACATATGGAATCCATCACTGGTTCACAGAGACGACTTGAGGCCTCACTGGGTAAATGAGATAGGGAAAGAGAACCTAGGGGTTACTCATCATTTTCCAAATCAAAGATTAATGTCCCCTTTGGAAAGGAGAAGAGAAAGCTGGCTGTGGCCCCACTTTGAGTAACGGTTGCCACTAAGAAGCTGCACACAGAAATTCCTGGCATGGGCTCCGCAGCGCTCTTCCGATTGGGCCCTGGCCAGTCCTTGTAAATGGCTGATTTAAAACCTATCAAATCCAAGACGTGGGGAGTAGCCTTGACGCAGTACCACAGATCCTTCTATCTGAAGCGAATTTCAGGGGAAGAATGTTTGGAAAAAAGAAATGATGCACGCACAACAACGTGCAAACAGGCTCTGAGAAAGTCAGATGGGAAGGACCCCCAGGGCTCACTGTCTTCCTTCTCCTCAAGTATATTTCTGAATTTTTAGTGATTAAAATACATTACTTGGGAAACAAAGAATAAAATAAATCTAAAATATAAAAGCTAGTAACTTCAAGTGTCAACAGGGAGCCAGAGCTTATCTCTTGCAGCTGACTCACCCAACAAGAGACGGAGGCGTGGAGGGGGTGGGGGACACCTTGCTGGCGGTCACTCAGTGGCCCGCGAGGGACACAGCCAGCAGCCTGGAAATCCCCTGTCTTCCAGCTCCACAAGGCAGCAGCAGCTGTGGATGCCGAGGCTGGGAAACCCCGAGCTTGGTGCTAGGTGAGAAACAGTTTTATATGGAACTGTAAAATTCAAAACAGCAGCTTTGTGTTAGACAAAGCACTCTGCATTCCAACTCAAAGGAAAGCTGAAATCACAACAGTGCTCACAGTGACAAGAGGCCAACTTCTAGGGAGCGGGGTGCCCCAGGCTCGGTTGCAGCTGCCATACTGGACGGCTGCCTAGGTGTGCCCCGTTTCCCTGCCTCTGGCCGGGGCACTTGCAGCCCTCCCCACTGGGAACGCCTCTTGCTCCCCCTAGCATTTGTTTCTAGCAATTCCTGCTTGTCCTTGGACATCAGCTCAGGTCATTCTCTGCAAGGCTTTGCCAAGTTTACAAAAATTAATTGCTACAACAAGGATGCTGTCAGGAGAGTGTGCCCCCTGGCTGTAGAGAACAGCACCACGTCGCAGAGAGCACCTCTGGTTTCTAGCCCCGTCTCACCCTCCACCCCGCACTCCCTGAATACGGTGGCATGTCAATCATCTTGTACCTCAGGCACCCAGCAGGGACTCAAACAGGAGTCAACAAATGCCTGCTTTCTCTCTCTCTCTCTCTCTCTCTCTCTCTCTCTCTCTCACATACACACACACTTCCTTCCAAATCTGCCCTTCTGTCCCCAAGATGGTACATGTGTAGAACTTTTAGGTGATAGATGGCTTTGGTATAGTGCTTTTAAGACTTATTTATTTATTTATTTGAAAGAGATATGACAGCTAGAGAGAGAGAGATATCTTCTATTTGCTGGTTCATTCCCCAAATGGCTGCCAACAGCAAGGGCTGGGCCAGGCCCAAGAGCCTGGAACTCCATTCTGTCTCCACATAGGTGGCAGTGGCCCAAGCACTTGTGCCCTCTTCCAATGCCTTCCCAGGAACATTAGCAGGAAGCTGGATCAGAAGTGGAGCAGCCAGGATTCGAACCAGAGCCCTATGTGAAGCTGGCGTCGCAGACACAACGGCACACCAGGATAGAGATTTTTCTAAGGTACAGCTTAAACAGTAGGCTTCTTTTTGGTGTCATGTTTCCTCACACCGCAGTGTGGTGGAAGATGGCATTACACACTGCCCAGGATGAATAGGGGGGCCTGACAGAGGCAAGAAGGAAGCGCAGTTCACTGCGTGAGGGCCCAGCTGACGCCGAGTGTTCCGAGCCACCCTCTCCCTGCCACTCCGCAGGATGCACGCGTCCCGATGCACACACAGACATTTTGAAAACAAAGTCACAGTGGGTGCACACGTGATCTTATCGCGTACCCAACTCCAGAACGAGTCTATCATCAGGCTGCTCATCACGGGGATCTCAAGATTGGGTTTCTGGGCACACACACTCCATGTGTGCAGTGGGCAGGCCCCGGCGGTGTGCGATCCGCGTCTGCAGCCTGCATCTTGGTAGCAGGCCGCTGTGGCAGTCTCACAGGAGTGGTGAGCCACACGACTGCAACACCAGCCTCCCGAGGCCCCGCCTGGCTTCCGCCCCGCAGACCAGACGGCAGCTTCTGGACAACCCCTGGGTCCCCAGACAAGGCTGCAGCTGCTCATACATCCCAGGCGCTTGGCTCAACGGATGGGGCCGGCCTTGTGGCAACAGGTGAAGCCACTGCCTGTGATGCTGGCATCCTGTCAGGATGCTCCACTTCCCATCCAGCTCCCTGCTCATGGCCTGGAAAAGGGATTGGGCCCCTCTATCCATGTGTGAAATGTGGATGAATCTCCTGGCTTCGGCCCGGCCCAGTCCTGGCCATTTGGGGAGTGAGCCAGTAGATGGAAAGCTCTCTTTCTACCCACTCTGCCCCGCCCCCTAACTCTGCTTTTCAAATAAATAAAATAAATCTTAAAAAAAAAAATACTCAACAGATTTCCCTGCCCTGCAACGGTGTGGGAATGACAGTAGCTTCCACAGACCGCAGCAGTGCGCCTCATGGAGAGGGATGCATTCACTGAAACTTACAGAATTCCTTTCTTAAGATTCATGCATTTCACCCATTATAAATAGTGCCTGGAGAAAAGAACAATGCACAAGTTCTGAACTCTCCTTACTGCATGCATTTTCTGTAGTAATACGAGCCGGAGACTTTGTAACTCCTTTCTGTAGAATCCAGACTTAGCAAGGAGTCAGGTTTCCCAGGGCAGGGACAGGAGTGACAAATAGGGGGAAGGGCGAAATAAATACCTAGGGAGAGAAACCGTATCACCAGAGACATGAAGCCATGAAGCATGGCCTTGGCATTCCTGCCGGAAGTGCATCCCTGAATCTCATCAAAAGGCAGCAACAGACAGATCCAAATGGAGGGAAATTCTACAGAACAGCTGAGGTTAACAGACGCAGGCTAAGGAGTCCACACTAGAGCTCGCAAGGTCTTTAGGTAAAACAAGGTCCTTGTTCTTAAGAAATTCACATCCAAGTATTCAGTTGTAAAGGACCACAACAATCCAGTTAACTCCCAAAATTTCAAGGTGGAGGAGGGACGAAGTGGGAGCAGGGAGGGAGGGAAGCCCAGACCCCCCGGGCCCAAGTCCAGGGTGGCTCTGGGTGGAGACCCTACCCCACTTCCTTGTGTTCATCTTGCAACTGCTCTAGAGTTTGAAATTGTAACACTGCAGAAAGCTACCCCCAGATACCCTGAGAGCCAACAGACAGTGTAGGTGAAAGGCGCATCACTCCCTCTGAGCCGAGGCATCATGAGGAAGTCTTTGACGAACGCTGGTTTCCACATCACACCGTTCCTTCTGGCAATGGCCCCAAGCCCCTTAGCTGGCTCTCAACCCAACTGGAGAGAAAAACCTCGCCCAAGAGGGCTTCACCAGCTGGTGGGGCACACAGTCCCCTTGTCACTGGTTTTCACGAGCTTCCTGAAGCCCTTCCTCTAAGCTTCCAAAGGGGCCCTTACGAATCTCCAGGTACCACCATTTAGAAAATTCTGGAACACCCACCTGTGCTGGGGGATGCTTTGGTATTAGTCCTGAAAGACAGAGCCGCTCAGCTGCCTGTGCGCAAGGCGAGGGCAAACTGCCACGGTGGACTTGGGGGCAGAGCAGCGCGGGCTGTGCTCCACCCCTGCTCAGACTGCCCAAGATCCACACCACTGTGGTTTCTCTCAACCAGGTCACGCGCGAGAGCCTCACTGTGCAGCAGTTTATGCTACGGCTCCAACCTCTCTGCTGGCTCTGTGCCTCAGCCAAGACATGAGCAAGGATGCTCCTGGGAGAGAATGCAAGACAGCCTCTGGAGGGGAAAACCCACTGCACGCCTGTCAACGGGGACCTTCCCCCAAGTCCTGCTGAGGCCCCGGATCTGACTCAGTGAAAAGCAGGATGCTAAGTTCGCAGTCAGAAAACCTCACAGGCACAGAGATGAAAACATAATTGGGTTTGTCATTTCGCAGCCCTGCTGCTGGGCCCGCAGATAATGGGGGACGACAGTCTCCCGAGCGAGGGAGGAGGTGGCCAAGGGAGCAGACGCCGAGCTTCTGCTGGGAGGACGAACGCGCCCCAGTGAGGCAAGCTCTTCAGAACACAAGAAACCCAACACCCAGACCACATGAAACGGGATCGCCATGGGACTCGCACAGCTGTGAAAACCCACGTCAGCCTGCATTAGCTCGTGCGGCCTGTTTATGTAAAGCAGGACTCTCTCAACCACCACCAACAGGAAATCATTTTGCCAACAAAAAAAGTGATACCTCAATGTAACGCTGACAGCCAGCGTGCAGGAGAAAGGCACAGCTACCCTCTGTTAGGAGATTATCAGGAGCCCCCTCACCTACTCTGTTAGGAGATTATCAGGGAGCCCCCTCACCTACTCTGTTAGGAGATTATCAGGAGCCCCCTCACCTACTCTGTTAGGAGATTATCAGGGAGCCCCCTCACCTACTCTGTTAGGAGATTATCAGGGAGCCCCCCTCACCTACTCTGTTAGGAGATTATCGGGAGCCCCCTCACCTACTCTGTTAGGAGATTATCAGGGAGCCCCCTCACCTACTCTGTTAGGAGATTATCAGGAGCCCCCTCACCTACTCTGTTAGGAGATTATCAGGGAGCCCCGCTCACCTACTCTGTTAGGAGATTATCAGGGAGCCCCCTCACCTACTCTGTAGGAGATTACCAGGAGCCCCCTCACCTACCCTCTGTTAGGAGATTATCAGGGAGCCCCCTCACCTACTCTGTTAGGAGATTATCAGGAGCCCCCTCACCTACTCTGTTAGGAGATTATCAGGGAGCCCCCTCACCTACTCTGTTAGGAGATTATCAGGAGCCCCCTCACCTACTCTGTTAGGAGATTATCGGGAGCCCCCTCACCCGCGTGCTCTCGTGCCTCTTGCAAGCGCTAACTGCTCAGAGTGAGAACCCAGGCGTCTTTGCGTTGCACTCACAGCACCCGATTATCTTTATTTCACTGGCCAGCCAGGCCTACAAAATGCATAGAAAAACTTCTGGCGCCTGTGCCAAATGATTTCCATACAAAAATCAATCCTGTCAAGTTATTCTGAGACCAATCTACTCAGCCATTCAAGGAAAAAAAAAGAAAAGAAAGCACCCCTCTAAAGAGCACACAACCCCCAAACTTGTATTTCTCAAGACAGAGCCACACCGGACTCCCCGAGACCCTGCCGTGCGCAGATGTGCGGTATCTCAAAGAGCCAAGAGGCGCAGGAACACACTCACTCTCACACGCAATCACTGACCGACAGTGAGCTCCAAACCTCAGCGCGGGCGCTTGCGATCCATGACGACGACACGGGCTTAGCTTACTTTTGAAGCACAAATAAATTCTGGAGCATCTAAGTTTAACCAAACTTCTCAACAGTGTTCATCAAATCTGAGCTCAATTTTCACTGAAACTTGTCAGGACCGTTCTCCTAAGACAGGACCCAAGAAGAGTTTTCCGAAGAAGCCTGCCAACTCAGACCATTTCTCTAGGACGGAATTCCTTCCACCCTGCCAGATTCAGGGTGCGGGGCACCGAGACCCCTGGTTCTAACAGGGAGGCCGCGGTTTGGCCCCAGGACCATGACACTGTTTTGCACAGAACTCTAACACGACTATCTGTGCTTATACAGAAACTCCTGAGTTTTTAAAGCCCAGGTTAAACCACTGGGTGTTAGAAGGCTTAAAAGGACACCCAAAAGGAAATCAGCTATCATACTGAGTATACATGTAAAAATAACTCCGACAGTTTCTCAAAGCCTATTAAAAAATGAGATGCCATCACTGTAGCTGTGAGATACACCAGCCGGTTCCCATTACTGCTCGCGCTATTTTTAGAGCCTCTGCAAAGATCAAAGGCGAAGGGGCCCTCTCCAGGCCCCTAATCTCTGCCTATGCTTCCTCGGTCAGGCCTTGGTCTCCCAAGGAGGCATGGCGGGGCTGCCTGCAAACAACCCCCGCCCCCGTCCACTCCCATCCACTCTGTGAGAAGGGGGTGGTCAGAGACCAGCGAAGTTCAAGGTCAAGCCAAAATGCCTGCCGTGCGTGCTTCAGCACAGAGCACACTGGCTCGGCTTCTTCTGTCCACTGCCCATGCAGTCTCCACAGGCCACTTCTCGGTGAGAACAATACAATGAGCACAGTGTCCTTTTCCAGTGTTAGGACCCCACTCCTCCCCCACACAAAGGCCGGGGTTGGTTTTCTTGGCTCTGGCTGGTGGGAGGTGGCCGGGCTCGCTCTGGGGCTGAGAGGCAGGACCACTTACTTTGGAAGAACAAGCGGTGCATTTGTCGAACGCCAGGCTGACGGGAAGGACGTTATCAAACCGGGACAGAAATCCCCGAATCTAAAAACAAACAGAATGAAGAATTCACATCACGCTGGGGAAGGCCCCATCTCTGAAATGCACTTCTGGGTCCTGGCATGATGGACATGGCTTCTCTCCCATAGATGTGAGAGTTGGACGTGGGATAAATGAAAACTTATTCAATTTGATGTTAGGTGGGGTCTCACAAGGGGAGATGGGCTGGGGACCAAGGAAGGCAGAGACAGTCCAAAATACATATCCAGTTGACTTGGAGCAAACTTCAACAGCAACATATTGACGAGGAAATGGCACCACCTAGTGCACACACTTGTGTACTACAGCTGGTTTACATGCAGACACTATCAGTTTTAACCATTCTCTTTATTCACAAAACTGTACTAGCACTATTATCTATTCACAGTATTATGCCTGGACAACTATATTTACATCAAAGTGCTTTTTAAACCTATAGAATGGCATTAAAGTGTTTTACTAAAAATACAAATGGCAAAAAAAAATTTTTTTTGGACAGGCAGAGTTAGACAGTGAGAGAGAGACAGACAGAAAGGTCTTCCTTTTCCGTTAGTTCACCCCCCAAGTGGTCGCTGCAGCTGGTGCACTGCGCCGATCTGAAGCCAGGAGCCAGGCGCTTCCTCCCAGTCTCCCATGCAGGTGCAGGGCCCAAGGACCTGGCCATCCTCCACTGCACTCCCTGGCCACAGCAGAGAGCTGGACTGGAAGAGGAGCAAGCAGGACAGAATCCGGCGCCCCAACCGGGACTAGAACCCGGGGTGCCAGCGCCAAAGGCAGAAGATTAGCCAGCCGAATGGCAAAATTTCTCAAGACTCCACAGCACTCAGCATCTGCACTCAGACAAACATGCATCTCCTGTGGGTTAATTCACTGCACCTTCCCAACCCTGCCATTTTATGTTGATAAAACAGCCTCAAAAAGGGGAAGGCACTTGGCTGAGGAATCAACCAGCGACGGGGCCCAGCTTCAAAGGCCTCGGACCCCAAAGCTGGCTGGCTCCCTCCCCCTTCCTCCCTCTCCCAGGGTAGCAAAGCTCAGCTTCCAGCATTAATATTCGGTCTCTTCACAACCTGAACCTCAACGGAGCAGCAGAAGAGCCCCCCCCGCCGCCCCGCCACCCTACCAGCAGCAGCCCACAGCACAGGAAGCTCAGGACTGGCCTGATAGGCTCTTCCGGGAGAGCAGCACCCTTCCCCGGGTGGCCAGCCCGTCTCTCTGCCAAACGTGCACACTTTTTCCTCTGCACAGCCTCCAGGGAAGGAATGCCTATCGCAGTTGTGGGAACGTCTCTATCACCACGCTGTGTTGTTTCAACGTAATCCAAGATCAAAGGAATCTCACAGAAATGAGGGAAAATGAGACCCTCCGAACACTGACAATCTTTCGGTTCCCTGTATCTCAGGAATGTGGCGATGGCTTCGTAATCCAGTACCTCAAACAGAGCCACGGCCGTGAATACATGATTTTAAACACTCAAACAGCACAGGGACCTTCCTGGAAAGTCACAGTTGGGACTGCTGACACGCCCGAGCGCTCAGAAGCCACAGGCCTGAAGACCGCTCCCGCTCCCCCCGAGCCTCACACTCGGCAAACGCGCCAGCACATCTTGCCCACCTCCCATCAGGCGCGCTGGGACGGCGCTGCCCGCCTCCAGCGTGGACGGTTCTCTCTGCTCCAGTCTTACACAGGCAGACGCAGCAGAGCTGAGAGAAGGGAGCGGCAGACGCAGCAAGGGAAGACCCAGCACAGGCAGTGAGGAGCAGGCACGAGGCCCGCAGGCCGCCCCTGGCGTCCCTGACAGCTCCTGCAGGCACGGTGCTGCGTTTTCTCAGCAGAACAGTCTGTGTGAGAACTTCCGAATTCACCAAGCTGGCATCGCAACGCCCAGAACCGCACCAAACGCATCCTGGTTCTTCTCAGGCCAACAGCCTCCCGGGGGGAAGCGCCCAGGGTGGGCTGTCCAGATCCCGGAGAACGCCACACGCCACGCTCTGCTGAGCTGACTTTTCTAACCCACAGCTCTGAGGCCCTCCATTCTCTGTCCCTTCCCAGAGCTGGGTCCAACCTGCCTTTCCAACTCCACTTGGGACCGAATCCTACAAGCTCTGAACACCTGCTAAGCTGAACTCAAACTTCCCTCGGGGGCATTCTCGAGTTTCTGATCCCGCCCGTACAGGGTGCCATGACTCCCAACTCTCCCTCAGCTTCCTCCAAAGCCACTCAGCTCACAAACTCCTCTTTCATCCTGATCAAGCCGGCACCACTCCACCTAGAAACAACGTCTCTACCTTCTGGAACACAGAGTTTAGTAAGTTTGTTACAGTAAGTTCTGATACAAGTCACGTCCCATAAAACTCTTTCTCGGAAGTCCACAATTCAGTGTAGACTCAGAGCAGCCAACAATGACCACTAAGTCCACCATCCCAAAGTAGACCCTGAGCCCCAAAGCACTGAGACCCCACTGTGCTTCTCACGCCTTGGCAATCACCCGCCGTTCCCTTCTGTGTGTTTCCCATGAATGGGGTCAGGTGTGAGTGGCTGCTTGCCCCGAGGACCCTGCTTCCCTCAGTCAGGCACCACGCAGAGGGGTGGCGGCACCCCACTCCTGTGGCTCCCCACTCCTGTGGCCTTTCTTTGGCAGAGCCGCCTTCCTCTTGGGCGTGCACTAAGAGCGCAGTCACCGGGTCATATGTAGCCGGGCTGAATATGAGGGGACTTAAAAAGCTTCTGGAAAACGGAATCCAGAGATAAGCTTTTGGGGCTGCAAGTCTTCTGAAACGGACGCACAGCTCTTACATAATACGTTTCCCACAGCTTTTCAAAGAGCTGGTATTGGAGGAACTGCCCAACTGCTTTCCTAAGTGACCGCACTACATTACATTCCCGGCAGCAAGGGAGGGGCTTCAACGTCTCCACCCCTGTCAACACTTGCCACTGTTTCTGACAGTGTCCAGGTCCCCCCTGCTGGGCGGGATGCCCTGCCTCACTGTGGCTTCCGGCTGCACTGATCTGTTGACCCCTCAAGTCCCACAGTTCTGCCAGGGCTCCTTGAGCTCCTCCTCCGCCTTGTTGTCTTTCTAGTGTCCAACTGTAAATTCTGAATATATTCTCAATGCAAGTTTCTTCTGAGATGTAGGATTTGCAAATCATCCTTGCATTTATCTTTCCGCCTTCTTGAAGCATAGAATTTTTTTTTAATTGCTGAATTCTTGTTTCATTTGTTGCTTCGTTGCTTGGGGTCATATACAAAAGCGTTGCAGGGTCATTCAGATTTGTGATGTTTCCTTCTAAGGGTTTCACAGTTCAGCTCTGGCATGAAGTCTATGGTCTATTTTGAGTTAGTTCTTGTATGTTCGATGAATATAAGGATCTAACGTCATGCTTTGGGGGACTCTAGTCAAAAAGACTTTTCCCATTGAATCTCAACAGCTGACCATAAGTGTATGGGTTCATTTTTGCAGTGTTCATTCCATTGGTCTATATATCTGTCCAGAGGCCTGTCTTGCATTGTTGATTTTAAGTACTTTTTTTAAGATTTACTTATTTGAAAGAGAGAAACAGAGATCTTCCATCTGCTGGTTCACTTCTGGGTTAAGCCAAAGCCAGGAGCTTCTTCTGGGTCTCCCACATGGGTGCAGGGCCCGGGCACTTAGGCCACTTTCTGCTGCTTTTTTCAAGCCATTAGCAGGAAGCTGGATTGGAAGTGGAGCACCTGGGACAGGAACCGGTGCCCACATGCACTGAGAATGCTTGCTCAGGATCACTCCTGTTTTCCAGGCCATTTGGAGCCTTTCCCGTCCCACTGCCGATGCTCTAAACCCCCCGGGTCACACACACACTGAGCTTCCACAGGCTGTGCCCTCCCCAGGTCCTTCAGAAAATGGACAAAACGGCAAGAGCACAGGCTCATCAAGCTTTAGCACTTTATTCGAGACACACACCGAAACCTCAGAACAATCTAAAATCCGTGCAGTCTAAATTCATCCGAGTCCTAACAAGTATATTCACATCTTTAGGCCAGGCTCCAGCTCGCGTTCCAGCAGGGGGAAAAACGTGTCCTCGGCTTCGGTGAACACACACTCACCAAGCCCTTTTACTCAGAAGTGTGCAAGGCACATGAAGCAATATGCCCTAGCAACATGCACAAGAAAGCCCTAGAACCGGACTCAGAAGGTCTCTGTGGGTCTAAGAGAGCCACAGGCGGTTCCCAGCAGGTGAACTGCAACAGGTGGAACAGGACACCTGTAGTTAGGAACCTCATTTGCATCACCAGCCGTCTGCTCTGCAATACCCACCTCACCTGTTCGAGGTAGAAAATTGGATCGAGAAACATGCTAAGAGCCTCGAGCCCTTTCCACACCGCTTCAGGACAACGAGCCCGCCAGGGGGCCACCGGGCCGAGCCCGGGTTAAGCTAGCATTTACGCTTAGAGGCTTCATGAAGTGATGTCCCCAGTCTTTCTCCATCCACATGGGTGCTCAACACAGCTCAGGGTACATCCTCTCAACTCCTGTTCTACCACTCATAACTGACAGGCTCTCCTAAGAGCAGGGTGCATTCAAGACAGCTTAAGACAGGAGACAAAAGAGCAAATAATCCCCACCGCCATGCTTCCGCTCTGTTGAAGTTTTTAGTTAACTGACCTCTGTTCCAACAGCCTCCTCTAAACCCCTTTCCTCTGCTCCACTTCACTCCCTCCTACAGAGCTTGGTCGCAGGAAGATGGACTTCGTGTGAGGATCAAACCTTGCCAGCCTCCTGTCCTTGATTTTTTTTTTTGACAGGCAGAGTGGACAGTGAGAGAGAGAGATAGAGAGAAAGGTCTTCCTTTTCCGTGGGTTCACCCCCCAATGGCTGCTGCAGCCGGCACACCATGCTGATCTGAAGTCAGGAGCTGGGTGCCTCCTCCTGGTCTCCCACACGGGTGCAGGGCCCAAGCACTAGGGCCATCCTCCACTGCCCTCCCGGGCCACAGCAGAGAGCTGGACTCCAAGAGGAGAAACCAGG